GAAAAGAGAAATTCAATATATGATTGTGTTTATTTATACAAGAGCTCAACAGGCTGAAACAGTTGTTTACCGGTAGCATCTAAATTGAAATCAAATTGGGAATGATCGGAAAAGTACTAATCTATATATTTTTTTTACTTTCATGGAATTATTTTCCAGCAGCTTGACTGCATTGAATTCTTGACTTTGAAAAAAGAGCTTTTGACATATCTGACCTCAAACCTACGTATTGGCTTCGAACGTCATCCGGGGTTATCAGGTTGTGCGGTTCATTGTGCTGTCGAAGCTGAAAGCTTCGGACTGTGTTATGGCTGGATTGTCTGAGTTGAGTAGCTGCGGGTGTTCATAGATGTCCTCCCAGCAGGATTCCACCTTATCAGCAGTCGGCTTATTATCCACAACACGCGAAGGTTCTTGGAATAATCGAGAAGGTTTCTCATGGAACCTGAGGTTTTTTGCGCCTCACTAGTGACTTCATAGTAGCCAATAGCATTCATATCCTATCAAGACAGTGCTGTTTTAACTCAAAGTGTGATGGATACGTTTTAGTTTGATGGCTATTTGCCGCACTGCGGGCGTGAAAGGCCAGTTGGCCACCCTGTCATCAATGCTTACGAGATGCGTGTTGTCTCGACAACGTGAGCTTAGTCTCCATCTTGTGTACTCGCCATTTAATTTACGAACCGCAAGGCCGAGATTTCGTTCTTCCAATTCGGAAAGCGATTGGACGACACTATATGACGACGCTTCTTCTTCTTTTTATTATTATTCCAAAAAAGAGGAGAATTCACGGAACAGCACTCCAGACTTTCCCTCTCTTTTTTTTTGAATCATACACACTCAAATTATCCAACATAATCATGCTGAATGTATTTAGGAAAGCTAGGTATCCTGAAACTGAAGCTCCAAATGTCTATCTAATTTTTTTAAATTTTTTTACAGCTATTGTTAATAAATTTATTATAAACAAATACATTTCAGGTACACTTGGTATGGTTTTGGAACATGCACCAACTTCTGTCAAGAATAAAATTTTCTGAGAAATCGATAATGAAAAAGTTTCCAATTTGTTGCAGACTTAGTAGACCACACTGTATATGTTCAAAGTATAAATGAGTATTTTTAAATTTTTTACAGCTATTGTTAATAAATTTATTATAAACAAATACATTTCAGGTACACTTAGTATGGTTTTGCAACATGCACCAACTTCTGTCAAGAATAAAATTTTCTGAGAAATCGATAATGAAAAAGTTTCCAATTTGTTACAGACTTAGTAGACCACACTGTATATGTTCAAAGTATAAATGAGAATTTTCAGTGCTCCTGAAATGGTATAAGCATTTTAGTTGATGTCATCAGAAAGTGAACTTTTTAGGGGGTGGAAATAGTAGTACAAATTACTTAATTTCCAGTTATTCATAATCTTTCTTGAACTGAATTTTTTTACAGGTGTTCGCATTATATCGAAACTATCTGGATTAGCTCTGGACGGAAATGAGAAATTCGTCAGAGCAGCAATGCCTGACAACACCATTGGTCAAATTTGGTCTTTGGAAAGTTTGGGTAATGGAACTTTTGTCATACACAGTTTTCTAAACAGGAAGTGAGTATTGCAATATCAAGAAGAAGTAATTTCATGAAGCATCGTGTTAAATATATTTCTACAGATATTTTGTAGTAGAGGAATATTGAAATCAAGTTATTTTAGACTAGTGAACGTGAGTTCATATTGAACACTTCAACTGTGTGGTAGTTTCCATAAAGGAACTGAAGTTTGCATATCTGCTGAAGCATTTAAACTGATCGAAGCGTTCATTAAGTTCTTATTTTTCAGCATGGTACTAGATATTGAATATGGCTGCCATGGTGAAAATATCATACTATATCCGAGACATGGTAACGAAAATCAACAGTTCTACATCAATTCTGACGGAACAATTGTACCAGCCGGTGACAGACAGAAGGTTTTGCAAATGGTTACAGGAAAGGTGATAGTGCGCCCAGTGAACAATTTGAGAAATGTTGATCACCTGTTCAACATTGAATGACTTTGGATAAATATTTTAATAATAGAATTAAAAAATCCTAAACAAGTAGTCAAAATTCACAAGTTCAAATAGTTCTAGTTGGTCATTGAAGGTTTTGAAATTGGAGTTTTCATTCAATTTATTTATTTCCAATCCTTCCAACGAATATATCTTCCTTCCTTTACTGCACGTGTGGATGTTCCAGACTATCGAGGTCTCCAGGCAGGCGGATGCTGATGGCTCTTTTCTGGATGGAATCCAGCACCTTCAGGATATGTTTAGGGGCGGAGCTCCACACATGAGAACAATACTCCAAAGAAGGTTTGTTCTGAGCTTCATAAAGCACGAAAAGTTGCTGAGGTGCAGGTGAGTTGAAATTTTGAGAAGCAGCCTTTGCAATTCCAGCTACATGATTATGCCAAGACATATTGGTGTCCATTTTAATCTCCAACAAACTTATCGAAGCAGAGACCGGAATTGTCTGTCCTGACACTCGACTCCAATGCATGGAGTCTTCTTCAATAACATTGAGGATCTTAGCTTATCAAAGCGCGTGACTTTCGCTTTCCTCAGGTCGAGTGGGCTGAAGTCGGAAACTGAGGGGTTCATCATGGCTTGCCAGGATGGTGTCTTCAATACCTTAGTCTACCGCAGTCGCTTGATGGGTATAGATGTTCCTGACACAAGGTGCCGCGAGGTGCTCGAGACCATAATGCACTTGCTATCAGCATGTCCAGCATACGCGGTTGTAATAATTGCCATTATGAGGGAAATGGAAAAGGTTAATTCAATTCCTTGAAAATAAGAATTCATTTTTGAATAGCATCTCTCTGCAGGGTCAGTTCAATATTTAGATAAGCATTTTCGCGATTACATTTTAACGGTCACATTGAACCCAGTGACAGAAAATGCTCTCATGATGACTCAGCGTCTGGAGGAATATAATATATGATTGCTAGACTTTGTCGGTTTTGCCGCCGCCATGTAAGTTAGAGTAACCCAAATAACCGTATACATTACATGTGCCATAATCACGTTTCTTAGGAACGGTTGAGAAACCACCGACCTAAGGTTTTGCGGTTAATTTTGTTGACTCGGAAAAGAGCCGCCATAACTAATTAGGCAGAACCACAGCTTATCAAAAATAGAGGGTGACCAATAACGTTCGATGAAAAATAATACAAGTTTTAAATGGGAAGGGTAATGGAAAATAATCTAGCAAGACCGTAGGGAATGACCAATCACGGGAAGTTAAGAAGGTGAACTTATTTCTGTTAAAGACGGTACTGGGGGTACGGGAGTTTCTGGAGACAGAAAAGAAGTCGGTCACCGGATCTCGTCGAGACAAGATCAGGGGTCTCATCCTTCAGCCTTCGAGGCTGAGGGAGGTAGCCTAAATAGGGAAGTAGCTAGCGGGACGTGCATCGGAAAACTCCGGGCGATAAAGGGTACTTAGCGAGACTCCGGGCGATTAATGATAGTCAGGGGGATACGGGAGTAAGCGGAATAAGCGGTAGTTAGTGGTACACGCTCCGGGAAAAACACGGCAATAAATAAGAAAAAAATAGTTATAAATAGTGATTTCTAGATAAACTGGGGACGACGGAGTGAATCTTGCGGTATAGTGGCGTTAGGCCGGTTAGGTAAATGAAATTTGGTGTTTTGTTTGTGACTTTAGCCAGGATTACAGAGTCAGAACTAGACAGGACGGACATATCACGGGTGCAGCTACGGTAATCGAATGCACCAGGATAAACGAAGTATCGTGAGTCAATTTTAAATTGTACTAACACCCATGTTGTCTTATTGAGAGAGGTTGTCATTTTGAATTTTATTTTTGGTGTTAGTGGTTATTTTGAGGCATTGACGTTGAACAGAAAGACAAGGAAATTATACCACTTCCTTTTTGTTTTAGAGTAAAACTCTCATTGATAAATAATTGATAGAAAGTCAATATTATTACGGCGGCCAGGCAAGCCTAGAAAAAGTTTTTTTATTTCGGTCAAGATAGAATTTCAAGTATAAGGTTGTAGCCTACTTTAACAGGCAATACAATTTAATGTGTTTTGAGCCGATAACGAGTTATCTAATTTTTGTTTATTATTTATTATAGGAGGGGTTTGTGTTACGAATAATTTTGTTTCTTCGGGTTTCATGTATTGTTTTATATTCGAAGGGTTCATATGGTTTTTACATTTATTTGTATATATATTTACTCTATATACTATGGTAAATTGTGGAGGCTCATAATTGCCTAATTTACTGCAATCTATAACTGAATTAATTCTTGGTAACAATTATTATTTTTTTTGATAATATATCTATAACCGCACATATTATCTTTTATTGGCTCGTTAAATTGAGTAAGCCCCTGTCCTATTTAATAATTAATCGGCCTTCAGCTGACAAAGTTAAACTTCAACCTCAACAGGAGGAATGTTAAAAGGGAAACCCTCAGTGTAGCTAAGGTTCAAAAGACCAACCTTCGTGCGTTTGGAACGAATCCAGCAGCCCTACGGAGTGGTGATATATTGGTGACAGCGAAAGCCTTCTATTATTCTATTTTTTTATTGGTGACAGTTGGTGGAAATAATTAATTTGGTAAAGTTTCGTCACCGTAATGAGGTGATTCGATACGTTAAAGGTGGCAACGGTGGAATTATCAAGGATGCTAAAAAATTTAGAGAATTTTTAAGTACTCCTCGTATACATCAATTGATTATATTTGATACTAAGTGCAGTAAAAGTCTGGAATAACACCCCAGGTATTACACGGTCTCGGCCTATATCCATCGACATAACGCGGCCCTAAGAGTGCTATATTACCATCTAAGGCACTCTTACGGTATTGACGTGACACCGGTGTTGCCCTACGCTCCGGGGTATATTGAATTCGTTGTGGGGAAAGAGAAGTGCCGAATTTATTGGAATTATTCGTTTCATACCCTCACCCTCATACAAGCTGATAGGCTTGATGTAGTCCTTCTCGATCACTAGAGCAAGACGATATTTGTCGTGGAGTTTTCAGCTCCTGGCGAGACGAATATCGTCCGAGAAGAGATTTTCTCTTCGAACACCGCAGACTCTATCCATATCACTCTGTCAAGATAGTTGTTCTAATTTTTGGAGTCTTTGGTGGAATGATGTCCTCTCTACTCTCGAATCTTAAAATCAAACCGGCTTGCCGCACTAAGGCAGAAATCTTAGCCTCACAGATGCAGAAGGCTGTCATTCTTGGCTCACTGTGCTTGCTCAGGGCACATGGTTTTCGGACTCAATGATCACTCACCCCACGGTGTGGTAAGTGGTCATTGGTTGATAATGCTGCGTTGCGTTAATCTTGTCGTGATAACTTTTGAAGGTGAATGATAAAAATGGAGTGCATTTCATCTCAGTGGTTATTCAGATTATAGTTGCCCTCTGCTGATCTATATATAGGATAAAATAAAGGTAATTGAGTTCAATTGCTGCTTATTTATTCGATTTGACGTTAAAGCAATATAATTAGACGAAAGTATACATTTCAAATAAAACATATGGAATATCCTAGTAGGTATCCAATTTCTCATCAGCATATTCAGCGTATATTTCACTGAAATCCTTGTACTTCTTGGGCCCAACTGCCACTGTCAAATCTGAGTTGATGTCCAAATATGCAAAATTTTCTTGAGTCACCTTCGGCCACGACAGATTGTTGGTAAGTTCACTTGGATTCTTGGTAGGATTCCTGAAAAAGCACACGATTATGATCTTAGAAAAATTAACGGATATCTTTCATTACATGTATTTGATGAACTGTGTCCACAAATCAATCATGCGTTGATGGGTCTTCACATCTTCCTGGGGAAACTCATTCAAGTCAGCATTTGATGAGTCCCGGAACAGATATTTCAACTCTTCTGCGTGTCCTACTCCTTCAGCTCCTGCAAAATCGAGTTGTTCAAATGTTCAGGACTCCCATAATAGATACTAATAGCTCATATGCTATTATTACCCTTATCGGTATAGTGCTTGAATGATTTTCATATTGAATACCTCGTAAAACAAGTATGCCCTTGGCAAAAAAATGGGTTTTCGGGTATGGGCTGAATGAACATTATCTGTTTGACCGCTTCTTCCATGTGAGTAGTACTACTACTATGGTCCTAAGCTGGCATCAGATGGCGAAGGGGTCATTTGAAGGTCATGTCTTATAATTGAGGTTTCAACATCGAAAAAAGGGTGTAGTTCATGTTTGTGACACGCGCAAATTGAAGAGGTCGCTGTTGGTTCGGGAGAGAATGCATAGGGTCTTTTATTGAACCCTTCCTATCTTCGAATTCGGATGAAATGAAGTGTGTGTGAGATATCATCGAAATTTTTTATCCGTTTCAAAGACCTATTCATGTCTCCTCTGGGTAAAACACTTCCGAAACGTCGAATTGTCTATGGCTCTGGCGCATGAATCAGGCTGAACTTGACCGATGGCATGGGTTATGTTGGCTTACTACTTGAGGAAACCCCACAAGAAAAAGTCTAACAGGGTCAAATCGCACGATCTCGGTGGCCAGTTTACATCTCCTCCACGTGGTATGATCGTTCCCTCAAATCGCTCGTGCAGAATATCTAATGTGGCATGAGCTGTGGGGCATGTAGAGCCATCCTGTTGGAACCATATGTCGTTGGTGTACAGATCCTTTCTCCAATTTTGGAGAAAGGAAGTTGGTAATCAACGACGTATAGTGCTCGCCGTTGACAGTGATGGCCTGGCCAACATCGTTTTCAAAGAAGTATAGACCAATAACGCCGCCATCCCAAAATCCTCACCAAACATGACTTTTTCTGGATGCATTGGCGATCTCGGATCTCATGTGGATTGGTATCGTCCCAAATTCGACAAATTTGTTTGTTCACGTACTCATCCATTCAGAAATTGACCTCATTGCTGAAGATGATTTTTCGATGGAAATTAGGTTCAGTTGCCAACTGCTCCAGAACCCATTCAGCCGCTGTCTTTGGTCGTTCACCTTCAATTCCTGGGGAGCAGGCCCAAGTCACGACCCAAAATTTGCCTAATTCCATTATGGATACGAATCATTTTAGTTTCCGTATTTTAGCAAGGTAGATAATAATAATGATGTCGTCTTTATTATCTTCTAATACATTCAAAGAAAATTAAGCAGGTACAGTTTATTTATTATATGAAGATAAAAGGCGAAATTCAATTTATATGATAAGTTATCATTCAATTGCTCACTGCGACCGCTGGTTGCCGCAGTAGCGGACGGAATGTCACGTATGAAAACATGTTTGATGTTCATAATTCTGACAGTTTGGAATTCGTTTGGGAAGAGAGGAACAATCTTCTTTCACTGAGACTTTGACTACAACTCAACGAAATGTCAATTCAAAAGGCAAAACATGTATATCATTATCGAAATAACATTTTTTTTACTGAAGAAGTTATATGCTTTGGATTCGATGATCTTTTTTCGTATTCATTACCGCAATGGAAAGATGTGGAAGAAACTCACCCTTATATGTAATTTCCATTTGTCCTAGCTTTCCCTTGTATGAAAATTGGTAAAAATAAACATCTGTGTACTTCGACTGAAGATAGGCATGTCTGGCGATGGGTGTAGTGAATATTGTATCGCTACCGTACTGTAAAAATAAACTGTTGTGAATAGGTACTACAACCAGAAAGACAATATATTACGGAATCAGTGAAGCGGAAAATGGAAAGTAGAGAAAGTGAAAGTATTTCAACGACCTATAAAATAGTCATCTCTCGGAGGAATCAGTCCAGTCATTATATGCAAGTAAAAAATTAAAACAATCATCAGTTTAAGAGCCGCATATCTGGAAATCACTGGTGAATGTATAGACTTTCGTTTCAGAAATTGTTGTAGACCAAGACGTATAGAATATTCCTTGGACTCCTTTCCTATGTGAAATATATCATCAATAACTACTGACCTCTGATAATCTTGATAAATATGTAGTAAAGAGATTCATTCACCTTGGTGCTAAATAGGTACAACTCAGTACCTACTTAGCGAAATGAGGTGATTTTTTTTACATTATGGTTCACAAATTATGGATCCGAAAAAATATGTATCACAGACTTCGTTTCTTGTACCATCTATCAACATGTCTACGAAGTTGGGTCAATTTTATTTCTCGCGTAACTTGGTTTGAAATCTTCGTTTGTATATTTTCAATTTTTTGCGTACCTACTTTTATTCTTTACTCTGAAATTATTTTCATTTTATATCTTGGGTACTTTATTCTTTTCATTGTATTTTCATTGAAGGTATTATTCCTTGATATATGTAACTAACCGCCCGCCCAGCTCCGCACGGGTGCAATTCTGATACTAAATATTAATTCACCCACCAAAAATTTAAGGGCATGGAGAAACAGTGAAGAAAAGATGATTTTTTTAACGAAACACAAGCACTACAGGAAAATCCTCAAGGCGCCTGTGCCAAAGTATTGATTCACATATTTGAATTGCTGAAGATTAAATCCATTTGATAAACGTTCTCAGGAAGTTTATTCCACATAATAATAATAATAATGATAATAATAAAAAACTTTATTCACCGTAAGAGTACAGAACATAAATAAATGAACTACATGATAGAGTGGGAATAAAGACTTGAACAATAAGCGCTATTGCACTTGTTTCGTTATTGTGTAACAAGGAGTATAATTTATAGAATATGCTACAAGACAAATAAAATGTAACATAAAAACAAAAAAATAATTTGAAAAGACATGACGGTATAAGTTGACAGAAAATGTAAATAAAACAATAATAATAATAATAATAAGATTCGTGTAAACTCAATACAGGATGCCTGCTTATGGTAACAATGAGTATAATTTCTAGAATACGGCACAAGACAAATAATANCAACAGTTCTACATCAATTCTGACGGGACAATTGTATCAGCTGGTGACAGACAGAAGGTTTTGCAAATGGTTAGAGGAAAAGTCGTGGTGCGACCAGTGAACATTTCGAGGAATGTCGATCACATTTTCAACATCGAGCAACTATTTTAATAATAAAATAACTTATTATTATGATATTTCCAGGTTTTCTCACTTTTTGTTGAAGAAAAATTATCATTTAAGATTGATACACTTCTACGTGCATTTAAAACAGTTCCTGGAATAGGTTTCAACACTTCGACTTGGATATCTGCAAAACATGAAGTGTTTTCTCTCGTTTAATCGTATTAGAGCCTGTTTTTCCCACAGTTAGAAACACAAATGTCCGAATTCGTAGATGGGGGCTTTGCAGGAATTACTTTCTGCGCGCTCAGCAAAGCATTTGATCGTGTTTTAGACAATACTCTCCATATTAAGCTAGAACACAATGGTTTCAATTCTCCCAGGTCAACCTATTCAAATCCTACTTAAATACCAAAACTCGAGAGTGTCTATCATAACAATACATATTTTGAAGTAGGTGCAGTCAGTGTGAGGGTGCCACAGGGTTCGGTATTAGGGCCCTTCCTTTTCATTATATAGGTACTCGTTTATTGATGATCTACCAGCCAATTTTCATTCTACAGGTTGTGTGCTGTATGCTCACGATACAACCTCGGCCAAAAGAAATAAGGATTTATACAATCATCAGTTAATATGCACGTAGCGCATTTAAGAGTATCACAATGATTCACTGCGAATCAACTATGTCTCAATGCAGATTAGACAAAGTACTGCATATTAACTCAACGTCAGCCACTTGGAGTACTGTGAAATTTTTTGGTTTATTTTAAGATTAAAAATTACTATAAATCATACCGGCCTGCCGCAATAAGGCAGAAATCTTAGCCGGACAGATGCAGAAATATGTCATTCTTGGCTCACTGCGCTTGCTCAGGGCATATGATTCTCTGACCCAATGATCACTTACTCCACAGTGTGAGGAGTGGTCGTTGGGTGATAATGCTGGCGCCCCCTCCCGAATGTATCGGGGCTTCGAGGGATAGGGTCTGACTAGCGCCTATTTCGGTAAAAAACAAAAAAAATCTTTATTCAATCCTTACAGATCACATACAGCATGATATAGGATACGTCACAAATAAAACCGTGTGATGGTAGACAAACTTACAATCAACAATATTAAAATATCACTATTTAATAGATTTGTACACATATAAGTACATGAAAATACTTATTACATTTATATTCATACATATGAGCAAACACATTTTCATTTTGCATCAATAAATTCTTTGAAACCATAGTAACATTTGTCTCGCAATTATACTTTCAATTTTGATTTGAAGAAGTTTTTATTCCGTTGCTCTCTCTGGTTTGCGGGAAGATGATTGAAAAACTTTATGTCTCTATTTGAAGGGCTTTTTTCATAGATTGATGAGCTGTGTGCTGGAATTCTGATGAGGTCTCCATTTCTAGTTGGGTAACTATGGCAATTGGTTACCCAACTAGAAATGGAGACCTCATCAGAATTCCAGCACACAGCTCATCAGAAACTGTTTGATACATCTCAACATAAATAACATTTTACAGTTGATAACATAAATATATGGAAAAGTTGATATCTTGTAATTTTGAAAATATTTTCGACACGATTCATCTGGTTTTAGATTGAAAATAAGTGGAATTATTCTTTTTAGGGAAACAACTATTCTGCTTCAGTTGCTGTAGCATCCCCAGATGTTGATGTTATAGGATATGTTGCAGTAGATTATAGCATAATATACATTGATGCGTTGATTGGTATTGAACTTATTTTTTAAATGCAATATAGCATAGTAACCTGTGTTGACTATTTTGCTTATGGCATCAATATTATTTTCCCAACTCATTCCACTATCTATATAAGATCCAAGGAATTTCGTAAATTCAGACAGATGGATAGTACTATTTTTGACAACTACTTGAATATCAGTCACAGCTAGAATGGATATGCATACAGACTGTTTTCTCTGCATTCAATATCAAAACATGTATCAATTCTTCTGCTAAATTATTCAGTTTTTTTGTAAGTCTTCAGGACTATCTGAATCAATGGCCAATGTACTATCAGCTGCATAGAGAACTACTGAATCTGAACTGATATAGTCAGGTAGATCTTTTATGAATAACAAAAAAATAAGCGGCCCCAAGATCGATCCCTGAGGAACTCCCAGGTCCATCCCATAATATTCAGATTTATGCTCTCCGATTTTAACTGATATTTTCCTGAAGCGCACGTATGACATCAGCCATGATGAGAAATTTCCACGAAAACCAAGGGAATTTAATTTACTTTCGATCATCTCCAGGTTAGTAATGTCGAATGCCTTCGATAAGTCGAAGAAAAGTGCCCCCACATATTTCATTTTATCTAGCGAGTCGTATTGGCTATGCCTATTTAACAAATTATTTGGTTTTCAAAGAAAGGCTGTTCGAATGATAAATGGCCTTAGTTTTCTAGCAGATAGATACCCGATTTGTTGTCCTTGTTGATGTTGGATGTGTTGTTTAAAGTATGAGGTGTTATCAGTCTTACATGCTATGTTGATGTTCTGTTGGGTTAGTACCCTACTTATCTTTCCAGATGCCTTTCCTGTATATGTCACTGTTTTGAAACTGTCAGTATCATCTTTGATGAGAAGGTATACCTGTTTAACAGCTTCTTTGAATGAAATAGAGTTGTTATTTACTGCCAACTGTTTTAGCAAACTAAGTTTTTTATTAAAATTCTTTGTGGATCATGATGTAGTAAGCTGCTAGTGTTTGTGTTGAAAAAGTTATGCTATCAAGTTATGAAAGAAAATAGTAGACTTGGATTCGATTGTTAGATTCAGACAACCAGATACTTTACTGATCTGAGCAGATTTTTGGTAGTAGCAACACCTTCGATCGAATATACTGAATATCGCTTTTTTCTACACCAAAAATTTCAGAGCTATTCCGTGTGAAAATGATCATCAGTGGTTTCCATATCCAGTTGACTCCAAAACGATGAGTAAAATTGAGTCTAAAGAGGGCATTTCACAGTCTTGGAGTTGAATCTATATCATTATTTTCTCAAATTGGAATGGATATATTTTCAGGGAAGAATAATTCATGGAAAAATGGAAAAGGAAGATTTTTGACTTTCTACGTCTCCATCTTTATACGAACAAAGTGATGAAATGGGCAATTGATTTCAAAATGAACTCTAGGTATAGTTAATGCAAAGAAGTAACTTTCAGTCACAAACTGAAAGAAAAACACCATTTCCTCGAAACAACTATTAGCATATTTACATTGAATTACACAGAAGTTATTTCTTTCCATGAACTATACGTCTCTGTAATGTTTTTTTGAAATTAAATAATAATAATAACAGTTTTATTTCCCAGCACAGTTACAGCTAAAAATATATCTTATAATTAAGATATGATCTTTATTTTAATGCAGACAAAACTGACCTTGTGAAATTCCATAGTCATCAGAGGGAATTGGTAGATATAGATATACTTTTGAATAACACACCTCTACCTATAACAGCTGTAAATTCTCAGGACTATTCGGTGACTCACATTCAGATTGGAAAGAACATTGCAAGCTCCTGATTTCCAAACTTTCATCTTGCCACTATATGTTCAGAAATCTCAAAGTTTTTTTGACACAACAATTAATAAACTTTTACCACGCACAAGTGGAAAGTCGACTGAGGTATGGTATTTGCCTATGGGGAAACTCTACACTGTCGAATAACGTCCTCGTATCACAAAAAAAAATCATTATGTGTATTGCTGGTGTGAAAAAAAGAATATTCTTGTTGAGAAATCTTTAAAAGATTTGAAATTTTGACCTGTACAGGCCTCTACGTATCCGAAGACTGTATTTTTGTGTTCAAAAAAAGGAATTTGTTTTTCATAAATAACGATTTCCACGAATACAACACACGTCGTATGGATGATTTAAGATCACCACTCTCTAAACGCAATATTTCCTATGAAGCTCCAGCTCGAATCGGCGCAAAGATTTTCAACAACTTACCTTCCTCCATCAAAAGCTTAAAACATGAACGTATTTTCAAAAATGAACTCAAAAGATACCTTGTTGAGAAATGTCTATACTCTTTGAATGAATACTTTTAACATTTATGTAAATTTTATTTTTATGTAAGTCAATATTCTGTGTATTATGTATATGCATATTTATTATGTAAACATGTTTCGTAGTGTTATACAGGGTGTAACTGAATAAGTGTAAAACATTTGGGGAGGCGATTCCTCATCGAAAAAAATATAGGACCTTTCATATAAAGAACTTTATTATTGGAGTATCCCTTGTTAAGATACAGCACCTTAAAGGGGGTACATACAATTTTTTTCACAAGCACTGAAAAAAATACAATATTGAAATCAACCTGACGTTTTGTACTACCAAAAATACACTCAGCCAGAAATTTATTTGGTTTACTCCATGGTTGTAAGGGGTGGAAAACGCAACCCCTAAAATTTATTTCCAATGTAACTTTTTGTCTTATTATTTGTTTATCATTTAAAAATTCACTTCCGATAGCCTGTTTCATTCTAAACAAAAAATGTCTCTTGGGTTTT